GGAGAGGGGGGTGGGGGGGAACAGACCTGCAGGCTGCACACAAGTGATCTCAGCAAAATCGCCGAAATCACTTGTACAAAACGAGCAGCTGTACATTTAGTGCTTCTTGCCCCGAAACAGGGCTAAATGTAGAAAAAGAACAACCTGCCCGGCAGCTGCGCAGCCCCTCTACTTCCTGCTGTCCTGAGGCCAAGCCTCGGTTGACTTGTGGGAGATCTGGCCCTGGCTAGAGTGAATCAGCTATGAGGAATAATAAAGTAATCTAAACTTAGTTACCTTAAAGAGGAGGTGCTTAAGAGGAGGCATGACCACTATCTACAAATTATACAACTGTGACTCTAAGGGCAGTAACAACTCGATTAATCTCAGTTCCCTGAAGAGCACACGTGACCACAATTTTGGGTTAGAGGATACATTTCTGTTGGGCATTTCTTAATTTTCTTGATCCCCCCAGGGGGGGAGGGGGATTTTCCCTCATTTTCTATCATTGGGGCACCCATAAAAGAAATGGGTGTGTGTGAGTGTCATTGGGCAGGAAGACATGGATAGCCATGAAAACATTGTCACTTTCCCCACTGCTAAAAGTTTGTTTTTGTCCATGTCCTCAATGGAGATGGTTTCCATCACTTATGGACCTGATTGAAGACGAGGGAGGTTCTTTTCAACAGGATCACCAAGAACAATAAAAATGTGCATCCACATCCTTTTAATTTTTTATAAAAAGGTGAACGAACCCTTTACCTACCCTGACATTCCTTGGCCATGCAGAAATTTGGCCTTGAACTCACCTGGTACTTATTGGTGGAATTGAAAGGAATCTCTGCAACTTTCTTGTTCTTCTCCCTTATGGCCTTAACCGATCCACAGGACAGCTCAATGCATTTCAGGAGAGCCGATTCGGAGGCGTCACCCGCCACGTCCCTCTGGGAAGCAGAAATGTTACCCTGTTACCTACAGAAACTGATACTCGCTTGCGTAATAACATACAATGAGGGCCGATATACAGTGGCACATACACGGTAAGCGGGACATATGACAAGACGAGCATCCACACACAGTGACACAAAGCTACACAGCTCCTGCCGAGGCGCTAACGTCACACACCTTCAGAACTGGAATGTTGTCGTTTCCTGCTTTGAAGACGGCACGGTTACATAAGGCGGCGATCCGGGACAAGGCCACCCAAGTGGGGGAGCTCTTATCAAACGAGGCACCTGAGATAGGACACAATGAGGGGAGAAAGGAGAAGGTAATCCTGTGAGATGAGGGTGAGAGATTGCAGAGTTGTGTGGCTTATTGCTGTGTAAGACTCCCAGACCTGATTGGTCCTCTGTGGTGTCCGCCTCGTGGATCTGGTTATCGAACCACATATGAGCTACCGTCATACGGTTTTGTGTCAGTGTTCCCGTCTTATCGGAGCAGATGGTGGATGTAGACCCCAAAGTTTCTACAGCTTCCAAGTTCTTCACCAGGCAGTTTTTGCGAGCCATTCGTTTGGCGGTTAGTGTTAGACATACCTGTGAAGGTAAGACAATAATGGCTATGACTGCCGAGATTTCCAGGGCTTGAAACATTTTAGGGTGTCTCACCAGTCAGTATGCCCGGACTATAGCCTTGCAATTTATGTTAACATTTTTGTAGGGACACATAGAGCTTTCTTTTGGTGGTATTTAATCACCACTGGGGGGGTTATTTTTTACTATATAATAAAAAAAATTCCTGAAAATTTAGAGAGAAAAATAATGTTTTCCCCACGTTATGTTAAAAAACATTTATTCTTACCCATATTTTTGATAAAACATAAAAGACGGGGTCACATCGTGTAAAAAGACACCAAACATGTCAAGCCTTAAAAAATTGTGTCAAGCTACAAAATTGCAAAAAACAACCACACCGAAATTTGGCCATAGGCGACACTTTAAATGCTTTTACCTCTCATCAATTTAGTGTTATCAGTGATTAATGGCCCTCAAATTATTGATTACACGCTGACATTCGCGGTGATATGTAACATGTAACACAATAGGAGCAATCGTCATTTTCCCACTTAGGCGCATGTTTGCGTGTGTATGTGGGGGGCGGGGGTAACGATACCTTTACTAGTACCGATGCCGATGCCGAGTATTTGGGCGAGTACTCGTAGTACTCGCAGTGCGATCGCCCGCACCCAGAACGCAGGCACATCAGTGCCTGCATTCCAGTCCAGTGCGATCTGCAAAAATAGTGCATGCAGCATTTTTGAAAATCGCACTGGACCGGAACACAGGCACTAATGTGCCTTCGTTCCGGGTGAGGGCGATCACACCGCGGGTGGGAGGCGTGGCTGCACTGCCATTGACTTCAATGCATGGCCACGCCCCCTCCCACCCCTGAATGCAGGTGTTTTTTCATTGGTAGATCTCATTGAGCTCATCATTTGAAAATTAGATCTCCAGACGAAAAATTGTGGGTGCCCCTGCTGTATACTGTCCAGAAGCCTCCTGGGATGTGTGA